CAAAAAATCCTCAACTTGAGCTACTTTTGTGAAGGTAAAACGCTACTTTGGTTCCCCCAAGAGGTGTCCCTGGCACTGGGATAACCCCAAGACATGGTGTTCCCCAAGTTGTTGGCACCAGCAGGCTTAGGTTTCCAGAGGATGTTCCAGAGGGAGGGATGATGATTGCTGATGCTATTCCTGGTTAACCAAGAGCCAGCAAACAGGACCCCAGAGAGTGCTGGACCTGGGCACTGGGGATTTGCTCCCTGCTCTGTGTGGGATGTGCCAGGGATGATGCCAGAGCAGGAACAGCCTCCATTTCTCACCACATCACTGCACACCCACGGCACAGAAACACCAGCCTCAGGAGTGAGATCCTGCCCTGCCAGGGGTGCCGGGGAAACCAGAGGTGCAGAACCAGATCCCACAGCCACGTGTGCAGAGAAACCTGATAATCTAATCACATCTGAGATGCTACAGGTCCTGTCCAGCCCAGCCTGCCCAGCTCTGCTGCCAGCCCCCTCCTGCCTGTCAGCCCTTCTCTCGCCACAGCTTTGTTTCTTGCAGCCTAATGACTCCTTAATTCCGCAGGCTTTGTCCCATAGATCTTGATTTGCCCCAGGACTGGTGGGAGGGGGCACTTTTGGGAGCAGCTGGGGTGGGAGCCAGCATGCAGAGCTCAGCCTTGGCATGAGCAAAGCTCTCATCTGCTGTCTGAGCTGGAGCAACACTGCTCTTTTCCTGTTTGGAAAGATGGGGAAAGGCACAAAGGAGCCCAAAGCATCCCTCAGGGGAATGCTTTGGAGGGACAGCGATTTCCTCCTGCACTAAGCCCTGCAAAGCCTGGGCTGACAGTTTGAGGGCTGCTGCTGCTGCCCCACATTTCCTGATGGATATTTGAGTCCAATATCCACGTCCCCAGGCCGTGACCTCCTCAGGCCCCTTTGGAGGATGCTCCAAAGTGTCCCTACAACTGCTCAGTGCACCAAGTTCACTGTGTCTTGCAGTGACAAAGGGTAAAAGTTACACAGCAACAGGCGAGATGGAGGCGGCCAGCAGCTGCTCCTGACTCAATTAATGACTTTTCCCTCTTATGTTCAGAAAAACACAGGCGTTTGCCACCTTTTATCCACATCATCCCTACCTAGCAGCATGACCCAGCAGCTGGCAGGCAGATCCTGGCAGCACGAGGTGAAATGGATTTGAGATGGATGGACCTTGTGAACCCACTTCCCTCTCTTCCTCCTGTCCAGGAGTGTCCCTGTGGGAGCCAGACCCTCAAAATCCCATCAAATGCAAAATACAAATAATAAACTCCAGAATGCATCTTCATGTTTCGCTGTCTCTCAGCCACAGGGATTTCTGGTATCAGCTGGAAGAGTAACAGATAAAACATTTCCAGGGAGTGATTTGGAAGTTGACTGGGCTGCACAGGACTAACAACATATGCAGAAAGTGGGATCTGCCCAGGAATGATCCCCAAGCAGAAAATAAAAAGGGACAGTATGACAGCACTGAGTAATCTCAGCAGCTGAATTACACACAGACCCCACCATTTCATGGGATTCCTGTCTCCCAGGGGGACTTTGGTCCAGTCTTCCCCAATCTCCAGGCACAGATGGATGTTGCAGACAGGTAGAGAAATTATAAAAGAAGGGCCTCATAAAATCAGGCCTGCTCTGTTAAATCAATAGCTAGCCTGTCATTTCTTCTAAGTGCAGCTAGTACTTTGCAAGTTCCCATGTGAAAACAATCTGGGTATGAACAGTTTGTTAACATAAAAACTTTTTTTGGGTGATAAATAAGTGCACCTGCACTTATTAGATCTGTTCCAGGAGAACCCACAAAAGAAAAATGTAAACAACTTGAACCTTAGCACATACACGCAAATCACCTTCTGACCAACAAAGGAAGTAGTAAGAAAACTACCAGGTAATAGATGTTGCACAGGAGGTCTGTGAAAACTGTATAAAATAAGTTATGTGAATAAAGATTTGGCTTTTTCTGCATGAAGAAAATGGAACTCAAGTGATTTATTCCAATAGATGGATCTGGGGTTGGGATTCCTAGAGTGAATAAAGATTTGGCTTTTCCTGCATGAAGAAAATGGAACTCAAGTGATTTATTCCAATAGATGGATCTGGGGTTGGGATTCCTAGGATGCTGCTTCCCCTCCTGGCAGGAGCTGCTTTTTCTCCCCAAACCTGAGGGCAGCTCTCATGATGATTTTTTAACAGGGCATTATGTGTCTCCTGAAACCAATCCACCACATTTACACGCTTCCAAATTTTTAGTTCAGTGTGAAACCTGCTGCCATAGGCAGGAACTGGCAGCTCCAGTTGGGATTTGGAGTTGCTGTTCTTTGAAATCAGGTGGAATAAAGAGCCAAAATCACCGGAGTGGTTTGGCTGCCATAGAGCTCCCCATGAGCTGTCTCCTGTGTTCTTAGGCACCAAATTCCAGAGGGATCCGTGCCTCAGCAGAGGGAGGCTGTGTGCAGGTCAGCTGGAGGTGCTGTGCTTCCTGAAAATCTCCAATTTTCCATCTGCTGTTACAGAATGGCAGGGATGTGAATGGGATGCAGCACTAACCCTCCACGCTCAGCCCTGCTCCCACGGTCCCATGTCCCAGAAATATCATTTAAATCTTGTTTCTCCAGCTCCAGACTCATGAAGCCAGAATCCTGCTGTGAGGGCTCTGCAGGAGCTCTCACACTGGCCAAGCTGCACATTCCACTGTTTTCCTCCACTCCTCTGCTGTTTTTCTGTTATTTGCTCTCTCCCTATCAAGCAATAGCTCTGCCATCCCTCACAAACAGGTATTATCCAGCACCTGGATGGGAATCACAAATTCAAACTGCTTCAACAGTCCCACCAGCCACATTTTTCCAAGGCAATGAGTAGCTGTAGTCCCTGCTCAAGTCCAGAGGACTCGAAATCAGGCCAAAACTCGCTCATCACCACAGTGCTGGAAGGGTCTGGTATGAGCCTCAATTCACAGATGAGGAACAGCCACTGAGAGGGAAAAGCTGAGTCTCATGGATGTGAAAGGCTGGAGTAAGACACATAAATATGGAGTGAATGGCCTTAAACAAAGCAGCCTGATTTTTCAGGAGCAACCAAAAGGATGGGAGCTGTGAGGGCTCCAGTGGGAGTGTGCAGACTCAGGCAGTCCCAGGGGAATTTCCCAGGGGTGGCCCAGGGGAGTATGCACAGGTTGTCCCTGCTGCTCCTGCCTCCTGTTGCTTCCCAAGTGCTGCCTGTGGAATGCAAGGTTGGAGCTCACAGACACTCTAAGGATGCACTGACATGGCACAGAACCAGTTCAGAGCAACGAGTCCTGCCACTGCCTCCAGCTCTGCATCTCCCCTGCACATTTCCTGCTCTCCCATCAAGGACGTTAAACCCAGGGACAATTAATGGAGACTCAATGAAGCACAGCTCTGTTCCTACACACTTTGGAGTCCCAACATAATTATTTTCTCACCTCTTTTGCTTCTCTCTCTGGGTCTCCCAGCAGAGATGGAAGCTAAGCCTGAAGTTGGAGTGTTTATGCTCCACCAGACATGGCACAGGGAGATCCTGATTTGCTGGGCCCCTGGAAGCAGGAGCAGCACAATGGACAGCACCCTGTGCAAGTTCAGGAGCAGCAGGACCAAACTACTCAGAGCAGGCTGAATACTACATCCCTTGGAAACCACAGGGGGAATGTGGGAAGCAGACTGTAATTACCTGCCTTGGCCTGGGCCCAGAACACAAGCACAAGCTCCTGCTCAAACCCAGCTCCCCACAAAAGCGACCCTCGGAGTAGTGGCCAGGATCTCCAATGTGCCCTTGCTGAAAGACACCCCCTTGGTGTCCCAGTGCTGCTCTTGGTGCTGCTCCTGCACTTTCCCAGGCCATGAACACCACCTCAAGAGCTGCTCTGCAAATCCAAGTGTCCCTCAAAGCTCCTGTCCCAGAAGAGGAGCAGCCAACCCTGTTGTACTGCCAGAGAGGAAGCTCTGCAACCATCCCTGTGGGGACAATGCTGTCACAACCCAAGACACAGCTCTGAGAAAGGGAAGCAGATTTAATTATGGAGAACATTGCACTTCCCAGAGGTGATGTCTGGAAGGAGCATGCACAGGTGAGCCAGGCAGCTTGGAGCTGGTGGAAGCTGGAGGCACCACGGGCTTGTAAGAACAAACACCCAGCAGAACCACACTGGGGGGCTGATGGAGATCCAACCACAACTCTCATCTGGGAGACGAGATGGCTCCACAGTGAGCCTTGATCCCACTGATGCTGGGAGACTCAACCAACCCATCAGCCCCAGGGCTGGGGACAGTCAGTGACACTGGGGGGAACACCAAGGTGGGAGGCACATTCCAGCACCCCTGGGCAGAAAGGGTGTAAGAGCTGGAAACCAGCTGCTGCTTACAAGGAAGGGCCCTGGCACCATGGTTCATCTCAGGTCACTGCTGGTCTAACGACAGCCAAGCAGAACCCTGGGCTGTCCCAGGAGCTGCAACAGGTCTGAGGCAGAGGTGAAGGGCCTCAGACGTGCCCCAGCTCAGCCCCTGTGTGCACAGGGGTGCACACGGAAAGGGGTGTGGGTGAGGCTGGCAGGGACTGGGGTGTCAGGAGTGAGGTACTTGGATTGGGGTGTCAGGAGAGGCGTGATGGGTGTGAGCTGTCAGGGTTGGGGTACTGGTAGTAGGGTGTCATGAGCTGGGTGCTTGGACTGTGTTGGGAATGGAGTGCTGGCAGTGGGATGACAGGAGCTGCCTGTGTGTGCACAGTGTGAAGGGATGTGCGAGTGCTCATTCAGGCCAAGTCCTGCTTCGCCTTCTCTGTCCCACCACCCTGTCCCAACCTTCCCAAGGGCTCCAGACCCGTCCCACCACCACTGCCAGGAGAGGTTTAGGGAGCAGAGGCAGATCCCAGCCTGCAGGTAGGTGTGAGGCAATTGGACCATGTTACCCCCACACCACCAAGCCCGCCGTGACCCAGCTCACCCGGGACGCCCCCTCGTACCTTGCAGTCCGTCAGGCAGGATCTGACCGAGTACTCTTCCGACTGCAAGTACTTCTCCAGCAAGAGGTCGAACTCCTCGTATTTTTCCTGAGCGTGTTGGTCCAGCCGCTGGTACGCCTGGACGCAGCTGCTACAGGCCTCCCCATCCAGCGCCCCGGCCGCCGCCACCACCAGGTCCACCATCAGGTTGTCCAGGCTGCAGTCCAGGCCGTCGGGGCCGGCCATCTCCCGCAGCAGGTCCCAGATCGTGTAAGTATCACAAAAGGAGAGGTTGAAGTTCCTGAAGTAAGCCTGCAGGAAGGTCCTTTTGGAGGAGGGCGAGGCGAAGAAGGGCGCGGCGGCGGCGGCGGCGGGGGGCGAGCGCAGGGGCGCGCCGGGGGCCCGCGGCCCCGCGGCCGCTCCCGCGCCCGCAGCTTGGCCCCGGCGCAGAGCCACAGATGGTCGGAGAGGAGCACGGTGAAAAAGAGGAGCGAGGCGAGCGACAGGCGCCATTTCTGCGCCCGCTCGGGGTCGGCCACCGGCTTGTCGCTGCGGCGCGGCGCGCAGCACACGGCCCCGCCGGCGGCGCCCCCGCGGGGGGACATCCAGGCGCCGCGGATCATGCCGGGGGCGCGGCACGGCACGGCACGGCCCGGCACGGGACACCCCCGCGCCCGAACACCCGCCGCAGCCCGGCGGCAGCTCCGCGCTCAGCCCCGTCCTCACCCCCACGCTGGCCGTCACCTCATCCGCACCCTCAGCCTCAGCCTCTTCCTCATCCCTCCCCTCAGCCTCGCCGGCACTTCGCCACCGCGGTCATCCTCACCTCACCTTTGCCATCATCTTCACACTCATCCTCATCCTAACCCTCACGTGGATCCTCATCCTCACCTCACCCTCACGGGCTGGTCCCATCCCCGCTGTCAACAGGTCCCGGTGGAGAGGGGCTCCAGCAGCAGCCACACACACGGCGCTGTCCCCTGAGAGCACAGCCCGTGTCCCCTCGCTGCCCACACACCCCCAGCACCACAAAGAGCCCCCAGTGATCCCATTTCTGGGGGACTGGGAGAGAGGTATCACCAGGCAGCTAAAGTAGATTCCAGGGACATCCCTTATTCATGTCCCTAAATCCCTGTCAGGGGGGTTTTGGCATGGCTAAACCCTGAGAGACCATCAGCTCCCTGGGAGTGGAAAATAAAGAGCAGCTGAGGGAACTGGAGGGGCTCAGCCTGCAGAAAAAGAGGCTCAGGGGAGACCTTGTGGCTCTGCACATCTCCCTGACAGGAGGGGACAGCCGGGGTGTTGGGCTCTGCTCAGGGAACAAAAGACAAGAGAATAGGAAATAGCCACATATTGCACCAGTGGAGATTTAGGTGGGATATCAGGGAAAATTTCTTCACTGAAAACATGGTCAGGTGTTGAAACAGACACCAAGGGAAGCAGTGAAGTCGCTGGAAGTGGTCAAAATCATGGAGATGTGGCACTTGAGAATGTGGATTAGTGACGGCCTTGGTGGTGCTGGGGGTGATGGTTGGACTCAACAGTCTCTGAGAGCCACTCCAGCTTAAATGATTCCATAATTTTCTGGACATGAAACCCCAGTGTACTGGGGAAGGAGCCTGCTTGGAGGCTCCTTCTCCACCCACAAAGCCATCCTCAGCCTTGGGCACTACTCCAGCTGTGGGAATTGATTCCTGGGGCTTTCCTCAAGCTCTGTCCCAAAGTGAACCAGTTCCTTGGAGGCCACGGGGTGCTGGAGCTGGTCACCAAGCTCCCTCAGGAGAGTGGGATCCTGCAGGCACAGGGACACACCAGAGCCTTTATCCCTCTCCTGTTTATCATCCTAACCCGTGAGGAGAGCAAGCCCCACGGGAAGGGGCTCTCGTGGAGGGGCTGCCACCCCAGCTGGTGCCATTAGTCACAAAGGCCACGGTGTGTGAGCTGCTCACGCTCCAGCAGCTCGGCCCTGCCTGAGCCACTGAGGGAGGGAAATACCTGGTGCAGAGCCAGGAGAGGTTTTACAGCCGGAACGAACAAATGTTGAACATCACCGGGAGTGATGTAAGGAGCTGCAACCCAGGCAGGAGGCTCAGCTCCTCTGAGCCGTGGCACAGACACCTGGCTCCCTCAGGAGCTGCTTCCCTCTGGCTCTTCCACCCCGTCCCTTCATCCCTCCAGCACGTCCATGTCCCTGCTGGGAGGAGGTTCTGGAGTAGCTGAGAGTGCTGTTCCTGCAGGTCTGGGCTTCCTGGGGTGGGTTTCTTTCCCAGGACTGTCTGTGCCTGCTCTGTGCACATAGGGATCACTGCATGGTTTGGGTTGAAGGGACTTTTAAACATCACCTTGCCCATGTCCCTGCCACGGGCAGGGACACTTTCCACTAGCCCAGGTTGCTCCAAGCCCTGTCCAACCTGGCCTTGGACACTTCCAGGGATCCGGGGAGGGACAGCCACAGCTTCTCTGAGCACCCTGTGTCAGGGCCCCCCCACCTGCCCACCCTCACAGGGAATAATTTCTTCCCACTTTGCCATCTAAACTTCTCTTTATTTTAAAGCCATTCCCCCTTTTCCCATCACTCCATGTCTCAGGGGGAGTGGTGCAGGCAGCAGTTCAACACTGCCCTGTCCTGTCCAGGTCTAGGAAGAGCTGAGACAGCAACAGAGCCCCTCCAAGCCCTGTGCACCCCATTAGTTATGGGACACTGAGCCCAGCTGTCCTTTCTTTCTTATTTCCCCTCTGTCCCCACAAAGCCCCTCTTGTTCCCACCCTTTTCCAGCTTTCTCCCCAGCCTGAGGACTCAGCTTTCTTCCTGCCCCAGCACTCCTGGTCCTTTTGTGTACCTGGGGCTGGATGAAAGCAGGAGGGAGGCCATGGAGAGGGTGTCCCAGGGAGCCACCGTGCAGGAACACTCTGCCCGTCCCTGACCTCAGCTCCCCTGTGCCCCCACAGGGCTGTGACAGGAACTCATCACCCCCATTCCCACCGGGAGAGGTTCATCCAGCACGGAGCCTGTGCCCAGCTCAGCACGACCTGCTGAGTGAGGCTGCAGCAGCCCTGTTTGCTGACGGCTCCGTTTCCAGGGCACAGTGCTATTTCCACCAGGAGTTTCCTCTGCCTGGGAAAACGCTGTCCGCTCCTCCCACTCGCTGCCAAAGCTCACACATGACCCTTCAGGAGAGAACAGCTTTGCTCAGCCCTCCTCTGGCTGCTCTCCCTCTATTGCTGCTGCTGCTGTGCTAAGGGCAGTGTTGTACGGATGTTTTACTGCCAGTATTCCAGGGGAAATGTGATTTATGGATGTTTTTCTTACTCCAAGCAGATACTCCAGGCTGGCACTCAAGTCCTGGTTCCTCAGGTGGGAGAGGCAGCTCTGCCTTGGTGCTCAGGAACATTCCCTGGGAAATTTGGAGTTTCCCTGATTACCTGTGAGGCAGATCCTTGGTGGGGATAACCAGGGAGGAAGTCACCATCAGCACAAGGTGTTTTCTCACTTCCCACTGCTCCAGCCAAGGCTTGGCCTGGCCTTGGCAAAGGGCTTCAATGATGTGTTTTTATGGGATTGTGATCACACACCTTTTGTTTGCTATGGCGTGACATTCCTGGCAAGCCCTGCTGCTGCCCAGCTCCCAGGCAGGAGTTGAGGGACACCCCACGCTGAGGAGGGCACTGGGATTTTGGGGACTCTCCCAAGGGATGTCCCCAGGGTGGGATGTTTTGCTGCAGCCAGAATGCAGCTGAGATTGCTTTGTACAGAGGGAGAGGCCCTGAGAGCTCCCCAGAGAGAGAGTAAATCAAGGATTATCAGATCTAATGGCCAAAATGTGGGGAAGGAGTGGACACACTGGACATTCCTGGAATGAGGCTGGGAAAGGTGGGGAGGCACGTGGTGCCGTGTCAGACATCAGCAGTGCCCTGCCAGTGCTGCCCACGGGACTCCCTTGTCCCCTCCTGGCACAGCAGTGAGGGGACAGCTGCCTCCAAGTGGGGGCTCAGGGACCCCTTCTCCAGGGGTACCATGGTTTTGTCCCGTCAGCCCTGCCCGTCCCGCTCCCATTCACAAATCCACAAATCCCATTCCCGCTGGCTCCGTGCCCTCCCGACCCCGGTGGCCTCGTGTGGCGCCGCTTGGCCGCGTTCGGAGGCAGCCGCGGAATGATGACAGCAGCGTCCAGCCCTGCTGCTATACGGCCCTCCCGGGACAGCCCTCCCGGGACAGCCCGCCCGGGACAGCCCGCCCGGCCCGCCAGGCTCCTCGGGAAAGGGCTCCGATTGCTTCAGCCTCCGAACAATGGGTGCTGGCGGGGGCTCTCAGCCAGCCTGCAGGGCATGGGCTGGTTTTCATACAATCATGGGATCATTGAGGTTGGAAAGGACTTCCAAGGTCATCAAGTCCAGCCTTTGACCGATCTCCATCTGGTGAACGAGCCCAGAGGACTCAGTGCCACATCCAGTCCTTCCTTTGACTCTTCCAGGGATGAGGAACCCACCACCTCCCTGGGCAGCTCCTTCCAATGCCTGAGCACCCTTTCCGTGGAGAAATTCCTCGTGATGTCCGACCTGAACCTTCCCTGGCACAGCTTGAGTCTGTTTCCTCTCATCCTGTCCCTGTTCCCTGGGAGCAGAGCCTGACACCCCCCAGCTGCTCCCTCCTGTCAGGGAGTTTGGGCAAGGTCCCCTCTGAGCCTCCTTTTCTCCAGGCTGAGCACTCCCAGCCACTCCAGGTTCTCCAGACCCTTCCCTGTTTGGTGCCTGACCACCCTTTTCGCAATATCCAACCTAACCCTCCCTGGCACAGCTCCAGCCATTCCCTGGTTACCGGAGAGAAGCTCACTCCTTGTCCCTCACACTCAGCTGCCATCAGACCATGGATCTGCAGGGTCTGGAGAGTGGTGGCAGAGGTGGCACAGTGGCAGAGGTGGCACAGCAAGCTATGACAGCTGTGAGCCAGGGGCACAGCTCCCCTGGCCGGGCTGGCTGCAGCCCCATGCTGCTCCCAGCTGTGAGCGCTCCGAGCAAGGGAGGGGAGCAGCGAGAGGGTTTTACAGCCCACAAGAGCAGATGTTGCTAATTGAGCCTTTGAGTTCCATGCCAAGCCATGGCATGGAGGCTCTGCCCGGCTTTCAGAACCACTGCCAGGTCCCTGGCTTTGAAGACGGTGGGGGTGGGAGAGGGGGGCTGGTGAGGGGGGTCACGAGTGGATATTGGATTGGGCACAGAGCCCGAGGCCAGGCTGATAGACCCCGGTCTGCACCAGCAACTGCAGGGAAGCTCATCCTGCTGCAGCAAAGGAGCCCTGCAGTGATGATCGTCAGACCTGCTCCTCAGCCAGGGCTGGGCCAGGACAGAGCAATGACAGAGAAGAGGGGAAGGTAGCACCCACAGGCACAGGTGGCTCCTCGGTTCCCTGTTATTTGCTGGTTGAGGACGAAGAAGCCCATGTGTGCGATGCCAGGTCCCGGAGCTGCCTGAGTGGGAGAGAGGAGCCACACCTGGCTCCATCAGAGCATCCTGGGCAGCCTGGCACAGGGTGCCCAGAGGAGTTGTGCCTGCCCTGCATCCTGCAAGTGTCCAAGGCCAGGCTGGGAACAAGCTGCTCTGGCAGCAGGTGTCGCTGCCCAGGGTGGTGTCC